ACGTTGTCCACGGGGTACGTGATGTTCAACGCCTTGTAGGACGCCTCCAACTGGTCCACCACTGACTTGGCGGTGATGTTCTGCTTATAATAGGCCCAATCGATCTTCGGCGCCGTCTCCGGGTATGACAGCATCCTATCAACACAAATGGCAACATAATTATCATTAGACATCATCGGCGGTGACGGTGGCAGTGATAGTCACCTTCGGAGGTAACCGTCGGACTTGGCTTTGAATGCGTTGAACATCTGTCGCTCAGTCTTGGGCACAATCTGCGCGAATTTGGTCCAATCAATGGCCGATTGGGTGATCCGTTTGGCGGCCATCGCTTCACGTTCAGCTGAAGACCTGATTTCTGAAGCAATTAATTGCAATTCAAATCACTTTTGACCGCAAAGTCAGTCCAACACACGAACCAAACAAATGTCGGATTTTATCGATATTTCACAGCTTTTGACAATAAATAACACTTTCGGGGGTGAAGTGGGCTAAGTATTCATGGAAATGGACGGGGAGTTTAATGTGTGAGACATTNAATTAATTGCAATTCAAATCACTTTTGACCGCAAAGTCAGTCCAACACACGAACCAAACAAATGTCGGATTTTATCGATATTTCACAGCTTTTGACAATAAATAACACTTTCGGGGGTGAAGTGGGCTAAGTATTCATGGAAATGGACGGGGAGTTTAATGTGTGAGACATTATTTATGCTATAAATTGACTTCAATGCAGAGATTCTGTAAAATGTCGTCAAAGTTGTGGTCAAAAGCGGATCCTTTATGTGGATTCACTAATCACTGGAAGTTTGCTGTCATCGCAAACTCTTTCAATTGATTGCATTTCATAAGGATTTGTGTTATCATTAATTTGATCATAATTTAGACCATATTTTCAATGTCACTGTCTCTCTAACCTATCCGTAAACACCTCTATATGTATGACAGGAAAGACTAAATTGAAATATGAATAAAACTTTTAATATTAATAACTTAAGTTATATTCATATTAAAAAGTATTTTAATTCATTAAAAATTAAGATTAACCATTCAAAATTACTCATAATTTATTTGTAATTTTACATTTTAGCGTAATTAATAGAGAATAAGCAAAATGTTTATTAAAATGACATATCAATGTAATTGACATCAGAATCTGAGTAATAATTAGTTAACTCTGGGCCAGAATGGATATATTCTCTACTAGAAAAAGAATATTCTTTATACCAAAACCATAGAATTTCTCATAACAGCACAATATAAATATTAATAAATAATTATGTTTTCATTTATAATGTCAATTTATAATCTATACATTTTGTATATTCATATTTTTGATTAAAAATATTCAAACTCAATGTTATATACAGTATAACAGTTTTTCATGCAAAATTCTGATATTTGAATATAAAGAATATTCTTTTTCTAATAGTGAATATATCCATTCACCTAATTTAACTAGCTAAATGTGTTTAGAATTTAATATAGAATATTATGGCATATTTCAAATTATCAGATTCCATATCCCTTTAGTTGAAAACCAGAGTTAATACAATACAGTATTGGTCTAATTATTAGACTCTAATACATTGATTTTCAATATGTATGCATCAGTATCTATTACAGTAAATTATATTTACAGTACTGTCATTTTATTTTTATTTCCTTTATTTATATAACGGATAAATGATTTGTAAATTATATCTACATTCTTATATAGTATCACATAAATTATCAAATTAGATTAAAACCAATATTATTAAAAAATAGACAATCATTTGATATGGACTTGTTTGTAATGCTTGTGAATATTGCCACTATTACTGCACCTATAGGCACATCCGGGCCAATGACACGCATATGGTTTCCTATTGTAGTGAATATTCTTGTGATCTCTCAAACACTTAGGCGTCGCGAACCGTTTGCCACACTCCGGCCAATCGCACGCACACGGCTTCTCCCCCGTGTGCGTCAGCTTATGTAACTTCAGCCGATCCGTAGTGCCCTTATAGTCACATCCGGGCCATTCGCACGCGTACTTAATCCTCCTCTTGGGGTTAGGCCTCACATAAGGCGCGAAATTATGCACAACAACCCTATGCCTTGTCATCTGAGAGTATCGCCGAAACAGTTGCGCGCAGCCATCGACGGTACACCTGATGGTCGCCTCACTCTTGTGCACCACTGAGTGCGCCAACAGAGTTCGCGAGCACTTGAACGCCTTCGGACAGCCGTCTACTGGACACGCATACGATCTCTCGCTTGAATGCCTCCTGACCTACACTCCGAAGTCTAATCTAGACTGCCGGCAAAGCATCGGCGTCAGCGACACGCCTGTGAACTTAGCGAATGAGCCCAACACTTCGTAAAACACATTTGGATTGTCAACAGCGCTAAATAAACTTTTGTGACACTCGGGGTAATCGCACGCAAACGATCGCGTCGAGTGAACATCTCTGGTGTGTATTTTTATTCCGTCATAGTTAGCCAGGCTCTTTTGGCACCCAATCTCTGGGCAAATGTATGAATTGGTCCTTAAATCGTAGCATTGTCTCAAATATGAGTAGTTTGGGGGAATCACCACAACCTTATCAGGGTTGTTTACATGCACTCTCATGTGAGTCTTCAATATACCCTTTGTTTTAGACTTATATTCGCAGCCATTGTAATCACATTTAAATGGCCTTATATTCGTGTCTAACGTATAAACTCTCTTCACTTTACGCCTCATTTTCTTCACTTGTTTCGCAACTTTATTACAGTCGCTGTAATCGTCGCCAATATTTTCGGTCAAACTTTTGCCGCTTTTATTTGCAGCCAAAAGGGGTTTGCGTTTCACATACTGGAGCAGGCTCAGAAGTAATGTTTTTAGCGGCTTTGCAACGCAAACAACAGAAGAAGCACTGGGGTTAACCCTTGGTAAATAACCACATGAGAAGTCGCGCAGAAGCCGTAGTGCAGATGGTAGCGAACACTCACCGTCCATACGATCATCACTGGATCGGTGGTCCACTGCATCCAACTCCTGCTGGACATCACTCAACACTTGTCGGTCTTCTGGCGTTATATTAGTCTCAAACCTCTCGTAAATTGCAGTCAAATGTGTCTTCAATTTAATGAGACATTTGTTGGAAACCAATAACTCATTCAATAGTCGCTTATTTTCGTGCACTAATTCATGCAAAACATCGTTCACTCGAATAGTGAGCGATATTTTAACCATAATTACGGTTATAATTGACGGCAAAATCAAATGTCAACTCAATTTGGCACTCAATTCATGGCAAACGAGTGGTCATTAACACTGATATTCATGTGACAAACATATGACTGAAGCCGTAAAGTGAGAGCCAATGACAGCGATGAGTGTCTGCTTTGCATAGAACTAGAGGTCGACTCAAAACAGGACTCAATGTTTGTGTTTTGGCGATACAGTGCAGCATCCGCTATACGACACACACTTCACGCCATTATAACGGCTATAATCGCGTCAAATCGGGTCACATATCATCATCAGTCGCATAGGGTGTCCACGAAGATTGATCCCAACCAGTGACACCTCACCACAGGTGCTGCACCACCGCGTGAGCGAGCGTTGCATGTATTGGGCGTCCGGTTGAGTGTGAACTGAATTGCATCGGAGATCTGTTGTAAACAATGTTACGTAAGTTAACTTAGCAAACGAATTCTGACGTCAATAATTATCGGCAAACGTCGCTTAGCGCTGAGTTAACTACGGTATTTAGTAACGTTATTTATGCTCTTTAGACAAATAAACACCGTTAGTAACCGAGCATTATTAGCGATGTATGTATCGATTGAGTGCTTGAAATGGCAAACAGTTTGGCGATCAATGCGTCGACTGTTTCACTGTTTTAAGTCATAAACAAAACTAACATTTCGTGTAATATTTGACACGATTATAGTGTTTGACGTCAAACGGAGCGCATCCCCAAAGACACAGTCAGTCACCACCGCATCCCACCATCGGATCCGCTGAATGGCTGCCAACCATACGCTGATCACTACCACCGCTGTACTCAACTGCGACCAGAAGGTGGCCACCGATGAGACGATGAGCTCGTCGTCGCCGTCGCCGCAGATCTCGTCGTCGCACTCCTCGTCACGACTCGTACCTCAGAGGCGATCCAATCAGTGGATCAAATTGAATGTCGGCGGCACTCACTTCATGACCACCAGAATCACGTTATGCAGGGATCAGCACTCGTTTCTCTACCGACTCTGTCAGGAGGACCACGACCTCAACAGCGATAAGGTATGCGTTCGTCACCATAACTGATCCGTTGATCCACGCGTTCATTGAATCCATTGTCCCATTCATAGGACGATGCGGGAGCTTATCTTATAGATAGGGATCCGTCTTATTTCGGACCAATTCTTAATTATTTAAGACACGGAAAGCTCATCATTGATAAGGATTTAGCCGAAGAAGGTTTGTCTCACTGTTCAATGCGTTTGTGTTTATTATACAGCAATTCATTTCACACTAATTGTGTTCATTCAGTCAATCATTTGCTTTGAATCTCAAATACATCATTGATAAGGATTTAGCCGAAGAAGGTTTGTCTCACTGTTCAATGCGTTTGTGTTTATTATACAGCAATTCATTTCACACTAATTGTGTTCATTCAGTCAATCATTTGCTTTGAATCTCAAATACCCCCCACTATTACTCGCACTCATTCTTATGAATGCATTATACAATGAGAATCTATAATTTATTGCGATATATACTCTTATACTGACTGTAAGACTTGCACTGAATATTGAATATTATTATAAGAATTGCCTCATCATCAGAAATCATTATAATCTGCATATCGTTATATCGAGCACTGATGACCTGTATTACTGTTATGCAAAGCCTTCAACTGTTAAGCCATTGATTTATAGCGATATCCGTTCGCACAGCGAGAATATTCTTGAGTGCAATTGTCTTACATTTAGTTTAGATGTCAATAATAGAGTCGTGAGTGAAATGAATTCATTTATCTGTATTGTGTTGACTGTGAAAAGCAAACACGAAATGATATTAATTATTGATTTTGAATGCAATGGAAAGGCGTGTTAGAAGAGGCGGAGTTCTACAACATAACGGAATTAATTAAGTTATTAAAGCAAAGAATCGCCGACAAAAACAACAACAAGAAAGTGGATAATAGTCGCAAACATGTGTATCGAGTGCTGCAGTGCCACGAGGACGAGGTGACACACGTGGTGTCCACCCTATCGGACGGCTGGAAGTTCGAGCAATTGATTAACATTGGCTCCAATTATAACTACGAGGAACAGGCGGAGTTCCTGTGCGTCGTGTCGCGCGATTATCCCAACTCTTTGTCCAATTCGAGACTCGACTCCACCGACAGAGCAAAGGTATGCCTCACACACACCCATACATACCATTCTTGTCATGTGTTAACAGTTCTAACCCATTGATCGCACCGACAGCTCATTCAACAGAAAGCGGCGAATATGTGAATTGCGGTTAAGATATTCCATCCATTGGTTTGAAAGGGTCGTCCCATTTGACTGAATGAATACTATTGGTGGTGTCAGTCGTGTCATAAACGCTTTGAATGGTTTTATTGATATTTAATACACACCTTCACGTGAATTCAGAAATTTTAAATCAATTGTAAAGCAATTTGTTTGTTTTTTTTCAATACCAATTGTATACTCATTTAGAACTTATATTAAGATTTTAAGCATTGCTGTAATTTAAATTAAATAAATATTTATAAGTTATTATAATATATGAAAATAAAATTCAATACTTCGAGTCACAAACAAACCAACGAGTGTTTCGCTCATTTCAATCAAATTTATTGTTAAAAATACAATTAATTTATAGAAAAAAATTAAAAACTAATACAAACAGAGATTTTCATTTAATGGTTTTCATGCGCCAGAGGCCGTCCTGAAGGAAATGGATGTTTTCGATGGCAATCCCGCGATTGATTTTGGCTCTGAAATAGTGTGAATCAAATGTACGGCATTTATAAACATATTCTTATGGCAAACATTATGCAATCAAAATATATATATTACATGTCATTCGTGGACATCTTGAGTACACCGACGGACAGCGCGTGTTGTTTGCCTTCGGCGATAACAGTGACCACTGAGTCCGCCGGCAAATCGGGTGTCATTATCGCCCCTTTGGATGTGAGTCCCGGACACATGATATTGGCGCCGCTCAGCACGAAAGTGATGGCACCCCTGTCCACCTGCATCAGCGGACATATGAACGGGTCTAACGGCACAGACATCACCGCATGGATTAGACACGGATTAGATAACGACAGACACATATATGGCCGGCTATAAGCGCTTACATTTGTGAACGATCTTTAATGTCGGCAAATATGGACCGTCTCTTTGCCGGAAGAATAGGTGTTCGCCATTGGGTCCGATCACTACCTCGATGTGCTCGTGGCTGAAGACAATTCATGGATATATATATATATATCACTATAAATGGTACGTCAGAGGAATGAGTGGTCAAACCATTTCAACGTCTTGATGGCCTCCTTCTTGGGAAAGATGTCATCGATGTAGTCCTTGATGTGCGGGAACTGGTCGACGATCTTATTCTTGATGCCCTTCTGGACGGTCGACTTGAGTTGAGTGACGCCCGAGACGTTTGTCTCGTCAAACCTGAGGACACAATCGGATCGTTATCTACCACTCATTGGCTATTCACCGGACTTTTCACTCACTTTTTGAACATATCGTGCGTTTGGCGTCGGCTTTGAGTTACAAATAATTGACTTTTAGTTGCGAAACGAAATCAATTGAATGACAACGAAGTGATGAATACTTGTTATAAACCGTGAAATGCTGTCAAAACGGGTATATATTTAACCGAAACGTCAATTCAATCGGTGAGTCAATGCATGCATTCATGTGGTGTTCACTGAGAGACACATTCATATAAAATGTATTTATTTATGACAGGAGTGGAGGCATTCATACAGTAAGTTAGGTTAGGTTTGGTTAGGAACTGGCAATTCAAACAGTTAGAACATAGAATCTAACCTAGCACCTAATTTGTAATGTTCCTGTCACCATAAAACCTAGATCAATTAAATAAAGTTATTATAGTGAAATGTTTGATTTTTCACACACATAGAATTCATTTAACTAGCAAATAATTGATAATAAAAATAAAACCGACCCAGTTTAAAACAATTATTTAATATTTTATTAATTGTTACATTTGGGAAATTCATTTCAAATGACACTTAACGCCAACACATGGATATCGAGGCGTAAATTAAACTCAAAGACAGTCACCTCCAACACTATTAAATAACATTGTACCTGGCTCAGAATACAAACAAAATGTTACCGGTATTTAAAAAACAAACCCTTCTTATAATTAGTAAATTGTATTTAAATTATAAAAAGAGATGATATCAATGGGAAAATGAATGGTTTCAATGCATTTGTTTACTTTTTTGGTTCACAAATAATACATAATTTAAATAAAATCAATGAATAATTTTCTATTTAATGATTTGATGCAAAGCTTTACAAAAAGGCACAAAAATTACTGGTATTTTGTTGTTGTAGTGGTTGTTCACGTTTTTTATACAATTAATACAAACGACACGCCAATCGTGTGTCAATCAATTGGTCTCCTCGTCCGTCATATCGAGAAATTTGAGGAACACATCCCGAGAGCACTCGCCCTTCGAGTTAAACAAGAACTTGTAATAACTGCCGTCCGCGCAGATGGCTGTCCACACCAAACACACCATTAGATCATTGAATTGATAACAAAAATATAAGACAATAAATGAAAACAACGAACCGATCACAGAGTTTGGTTCCGCGCCGAAGGCACAAATACAATGAGCGCCGGCCGGCACTTGGAAACGAGAGAAACTCCACTTTGAGCTGAAATATTTGGGTAAAAAGGAGGCCGACGCCAAACTGCACCACCGATTCATAGAGAGATTTTGGACATAATTTTAAAGACATTTGGCCATCAAATTAATGGACAGAAGTGGACGCAAACCTCGACTGTTTGTTCTTTTTGCAGTCCTCGACGGCGAATATATGGATCGTCCCGTGATCTGAAGACACGCATAGCAGCGATGACTCCAAATTGAAGTTTATGCTGAGGTTGTGGACACAATTAGACCATTAGATCACTGAAACAACAGACAATTGAATCCAAAAAAGACAAACCAATAAATGTTGGCCGCGTTGGCGCCTCTCCTGAGTTCGTTGAGTAGCTGCCCATTGGATGTGTCGAAGATTCGGATAAGAGTGCCCTTCTCGGAAGCGGTGGCCAGTCGTGTGCCCGATAGGTTCAGCGCCAGACAACTGAGTGGCGCCTCGTGTGCGATCACGTCGATCACCGGCTTCTCCGTGTTCTGCACAGCAATACAAGACAATTGTTGGCATTTCATGACAAACACTGAGCACAGGGACCAACCGCTAAGTCAATCATCTGGACGTGTCCTGTCTTTCGCGAGGGGAACGCCACTAAAGAGTTATTACTATTTGGACACAACACGCATAGACCTGTTCACCAAAAAACATTACATTTGTTTCACTCAATTCAATGCCAATTCATGTGACAACTGATGGCAAACCTCTTGGATTAGTGCACGTCTCGAATACATGCAACTGTTGTGGGGTTTGAGTGAATGTATAGACTTTGATCATCGTCTCCAAGACCACAACAATTCTGTCAAAACAAATGTCATTAGTATCGAGACATCGATGGAAGTCTTTGACAGTCAATACCTGTCGCGACGCAAACGAACTGCTTTGACATCTGAAGAGAACTCGAGTTCAATCACGTGCTTCTTCTTCAGGTCGTCCCAAACCATCACTGAATACACAGAAAACAGATAAAAATAAGTCGAGAGAGAGAGAGAGAGAGAGAGAGAGAGCTATATAGCGATGACAAACCCTTTTTGGTTGAATATTGAGGTTGTTTTCCGCCACCAATTAATGCCAAATAATTGCATCGAAACAACATCTCCACGAAACCAATGCCACCGTTACTAAAGTCTGCGATATATCAACACAAACACTGATCACTGATTTTTTTTGTCTGCCAAACACCATCAACACTCGTGAGTGCAAATATGTGGTGCCCATTCATACCCTGCTTCTCCTTCTCCTTGATGGGGTCCGAGTTGTAGACCCGGAACCCATTGTGTAGTCCGCACGCGAAACAACCTTGGTCCTGATTGAACCCGTAAAACAAGAGCCCATTCTTAGCGCCATTCGCGTCGATCTTCTCGGCATTCATTGCACTCATTGTTTACACTCAACACCGACTCATCTGATAGTCGACTCGTTATCTCGAAATGTTTTTCCACTTGTTTTGTGTCTGCCTTTGAGTCTCAATTGAAATGTCAAACGAAATGTGTTTTGAAAACCACTTTAAACTGTATTGCAGTCAATGTAATGATGTTTGTTATGCACACTAAACAACTCATTGCTGTTTATCCCTATCGTAAACAGAGGCCGAACGAGCGCTAGAGGTGTGCAACCGCTCCCTACCCAACCAACCCGTACCCGCCACTAGTGCCACAAAACTTAATGATTCAGACAATTATGCTGTAAATAGACCTAGATTAATTTAATAGAAAATATGTTTGTATTATTAATAACACGAAAACAGTAATTTATAAAGTGATGTCAAATATATGACACTAAGTGGTCGGTCAGTGTGGACAGGTATGCGGGTGTCTAACGGGGCTGTAGTGCCCAAAATCCCTCCCACTTATCCCCAAACAGTGATGCGATCGCTGGTGTGAAGTCTGGGCACAAGTTTTCATTGCCTCACAAGTTGTCTGATCTGCACAACGAGTGTTTGTTTTGAAAAGTTTTGGTGTTTTATAGTTTCATAAATTGATTAATTGTTGCCATTATTGCACCCAAACTACAACCCAATTAAATGTTACTCACGAGACATTTGGTGAAATGCATTGGCGTTGCCTCCCATTTGAGACCACTTTCAACGGCAGGTATTTGTTTAACACAAAAAAACTTTTACTATTTGTCATAATTGTTATTGACTTTGAATTGAATGAACAAACAAATTGTGCTTGCACAGTTATGTAATGCAGTGATTAAATAGTAGCTGATTGTTTCTTAAATAATCATTTCCTGATTGTCTATCAATAGTTAATTTAGCAAACAATGTGTGATATCTCCACATAATGTTTATATCAATAATTGTGTGAAAAGTTTTTAAAACCCAATTAATTTTAATAACAAATTGAAGGTCAGAGTATCGGTAGATTAATCTAAACAACGACCTAGGCATTTTATTAAATTTAGTTAAAACAATGAGCTAGCAACTTTAACACTGTAAGCGGTGATAGCGTGTAAACGTAATGGTAATAGTGTACTTGGGGCATAATTGACTGGCAAAATGGGTGCACCGACTAAGCTGTAGGCGCTCATCACGAATCTGGTCTCAGAATGAGGGGTACGTCATGGGAACGGGAGTTAAGGAAAGTTAAAGGTAGGCGCTGTCCATTACACAACAATGATATGACAACTGAACGGTTATGTAATGATAATGTAATGAAACCTACCATTAAGACTATGGTATATGAAAACTGGACTCACTCTTAGACTAATTTGCTTGGATAATGCATCGCACCGTTACCTCCAGTGGAGTTCCTCCACTTACAGGTATAAGATTACAGAATACTAATTTTAATTCAATTAATTTCTTGAATTAATATGTTCTGGGTGGGTTAGGTTTTTTAATAATATAATTTTTACTTAAAAACTTGTTTTGAAAAAAATACATAAGTATTTACAAAAACATATTTAATTTATGTGAACACTAATTGTGTGACAAAAAAAAGTACTGTCAACAAATACATTTACATAAATACAAAATAGAGTACAAGTATTTGTCACAAAATACTGATTTTATTTAAATTAAATTCATTTATAATATTTTTTAGGTGGGATAGGTTACGAGGCGAACGCTAATTGGGTAGCAAAATAGGTATAATAGGTATGGGGCTAATATGTGTAGGTTTCATTACATTATCTTATATAACCGTTAAGTTGTGATATAATTGTTGCAAAAATCAATTTAAAATCTATGGGAAAAACAATGGACTGCGCCTACCTTTAACTTCCATAACTCCCGTTCCCATGGCGTGCCACTCATTCTGAGACCAGATTCGTGATGAGCGCCTACAGCTTAGTGAGTGCACCCATTTTCATGAAAATGTTGGCAATTCTGGCCGCAGTAGACATGTTTGTGTGTAAACCCGATGGTCTTAATATTGGTCTAACGGTGTTGTAATGTCTGTCAAAGCGTACACTCATATCAACGTTGGAGTGAAGGGCCAGAAGAATAACATTGGATTCATTCAACTGAATCGACCGAAAGCTCTGAACGCCTTATGCGATGG